GACGAGCATGTTTGGTGTGACGGGTATTCAAACCCGCGACTCTCAGATTGCGAGTCGAGCGCCCTAACCACTTGGCCATGCCGGGCCTGAATAGAGGTTAAAAGAACACATAATAAACTTTGTTGTGTGGTTATCATAATGAAAGAATGTGGTTCTATCTTACATCATGATGTCATCGTGTATCATTAAGTAGGTGACAGAGGAGTAGGTAGAAATCTATAAGGGTTACTTTTCGAGGAAAATGAGCGGCGAAGCCATTGTGGAGTGAGAGGAGTTCGTGAAGCGCCACCTCAGTATAGTCTTTTAAATTTCCCTGGAAATTTTTCATTTTGATAATATCAAAGATCATTTATACACCTTTTAAATATGTTTTGTGCATATATTGGTAAAATTTACGGAGTTCTTTTGCATACGTACAACTCCCTCTGCCTACGCGCATGGGTTTAAACTCTTAAAATATATTTGTTTAAGTTTTTAAAATGGGTTAGATTGCATATGCATTTTTGATTGATATTTTAACGTGGCTGTAGTCCTCCAGGGGCTCAGTGATAAGTCTGAAAAATTATAACGCTAAAAATCTGGTTTCGATATCCGTGGTGGGCACATCAGAGATAACCCATTACGTGGGTTTGTGCTTAACAATAAACAAACCAAAATCAAAGTTGATATTAAGTTGCTACTTCTCTGTATCCACAAATGAAATGAAAAACCAGAATTATTTACTTAGTGATGTAATTATTAAGTTTTACCCAAAACTAAAACTAACCTCTTGATGTCATCTATTTGAATAATTTCGTTCGTGAAACTAAAGAAACTTTTGCTTTTTTTTCAAGTTAATCCACTGTGTAATTCCTATTTTCAATTAACTTTTAATATAGTCACTGAAGCAATAAACTCAACAAGGTAGATACTTTTAAAAGACTAATTAAAGAACGTGTTCACAAATTAATATGAAAATGTTTTAGACCACACACACACACACAAACGAAAATCGAAACTTCTTTAACATTAACACTCAAAAATTTCTACGTCACGTATAAATATTCATGTCTCTACTGTAGCGGTTATATAGGTTCAACTATTAGAATTCTCGAGCGGTCATCGCTCATCTGTTCAATAGCATGCATGGAACTGTGATAGTCCAGTTCACAGTAATCAGTTTTCCATCATCGGCTCAGTTGATTGTGAGAGGATGCTTAGGGTTAAAGAAACGTTATTCATCAATACTTTAAGACCAGAGATTAACGTAAACTAAAATTCGGTGCCATCAAGACCGAAAATGTGAGTAAATTTGTTTTCCCTAGATTTTCGCAAAGTGAATTGATTCATCAAATGCATAAAATCAAAGCTTAAATTGAATTAAACCACCATTCTCCTAACTTGAACATTTGCATATTTTTTATGGATCTCTCCTGAATACACCGTGAAAGAAAAAAAGATAATTTATGTCAATAAAACAATTCAACCAAGATGAATAAAAATTGAAAAACAAAAATAAATAAATCCTTGGATTATAACATTTTAACTTCAAAATTAACCGCATTTAATTAGAATAAACCTATTATTGAACTGAGTTCATAAATAAATAAAAAATAACTCATTTTATGGATTTGTTAAAATAAAAGCGTAAGGTGTTTTTCGATAACTTTTTCCACACGTCTTTCAACATGTGAAATCAACAACTGCATCCATATCGTTCTGTTTTCACTATACGTAATATTTTTCAGAATTATTAAGCCTTATTATATTGTCAGTCGTATTGATTAGACAATATTGGTTAGATAGATAATTCTTGATATTGGATTACATGTAATTAACCTGGATACATTCGAACTGATAAGACCTCGTTCTTAACCTTGGCTCAAGCTATCTACTTGTATTCACAGATGGAAATAATATATAAAAGACGTTTGATACAGCATAAGTTTTAACACAGGTCGTTGTTGGAAAGACGGTACAGATATGGGTTTCCGAGTTGTTGCCTTGTGTTTCGCTGCTCTTGTCGTTGGTAGTCTAGGTAAGTTGAACCATGTTATTTGTCAGAGCTGAACAACAACAGATTGTCTGCTAAGTTTTTATTCAGTTTTCATAAACCAATCATGGTTACTGCTATTAAACCAGAAATCATACTCTTGGTACTGTTACAATTAAACAAAGAAATAAAACAGACGTCTTCTGTTTCATTCATATAACAAAAAATAAAGACTTTAAAACAAACAGATCTATACTTAGACTAGGGTAAGTATTTCGTTACTGTGGTTGAGAAGTAAGTTTGAGGGATTATAATGCTAAAAAATGGGTTTCGATACCCGCAGTGGGCACAGCACAGATAGACCATTCAGTAGCTTTGTGCTTAACAACATATAAGAAACAATATTCTAAATCAAGTACGTCATCTATGGCTTAACGCTAATCTTGAAGCCATAAAATACTAAAAAAGTGGGTTTCGATACCTATGATCGGCACAGCACAGATACCCATTGAGTAAGAGAAAAAAATGAAATAAAAATAATTAAATTAAACTTGCATATAAATTACTGTATTAGTTTGTCTAAAGAAGTGACGTATGTTAAA